TGAAGAAGAAGCGAGGGATATCTTAGAGAATCTTAGTGAAGATGATGCCCCACCTCTTCCGCCTCCACCACATGCTCCGGACGACAGTTACAGCCCCTCTAAAGAGGAGGCCGAGAGCCAAGAAGCAGAGGAGGAGGAAGATGGAAAAGAGGCTCAGGAGGAGGAAGCTGACGACGAGGAGGAGGCACTCCCGAATCGCGGTCCTCAAGAAGGGGATTGGGAGTTTGAGTACTCAGATCTCAAAGAGCCCAGTGCAGTCTGACAGGCTCATGTTCTGCGTTCCGCTGTTTGACAATAAGTCGCCTTCCGTCCTTGAAGCCCTTCAAGAAATTTACCTCTACTTGCGGGCACTCAATCTTCCAGTCTTGCGTTTGCATACCGATAGGTCGCGTGAGTTCATGAATAAGGCCACTCGCAAGTGGTTTGCAAATCAGCTCGTGAGGGTCACCACAACTGAGGGTGATGCGCCAGCCCAAAACGGCTCAGCAGAGCGCACCATCAGGTGGCTTAAGACTCGGGCACGAACTCTACTGCGAGCTGCTGATTTCCCGCCGCCCCTGTGGGCATGTGCAATGCGAGCTGCTGCAGCACAGCAGAGGTCTGAGGTACTAGGTATGGCCACGAAGCTTGCAGCGCCTTTTGGTGCTAAGTGCCTGGTGCGCGTGAAGGCCTACACGTCTGTTGCAGCTGCTAAGGGCGAGATTGCCGAACGGTGGATTTCAGGTCGGTATGCGGGTTTATCTCCAACGGTTAATGAAGGTCATTTGGTGTACAGGGATGATGGCAAAGGCAATGGGTTCACACAGTCGCTGCACGTGAGAACTAAGGTTGTTGAGCCTCCTGAGTGCCCTGAGCAGTTTGAGGGCGAGTCTGTCCCTGTAAGGCGTCGCGTTGTAGGAAAGTCCCCGCCAGAAGCAGAGCTGAGAGCTGCTCAGCTCGGCTCATGGACGTGGTCTGAGCTTGAAGCTGGCGCAAAGACTTTGCTGCAGGAATGGGATCCTGAGGCTGCCAAGAATCTCCTCATGCAGGTTTGCCAAGCCTATCCCGAAGAGCAGTATCAAGCTGGAATGTTCCGTAGGGGAGGGATAGTAGGCTGTATGCGATCGACTTGGAGTAGGCCGTGGCTTGCCTCACTGTGCGCGCGCCTGTTGCAGCATCACGCACCTGATGCTACCTTCACGTCGGTGTGTCTGTCCAACTCGTGTCAAAAGGACATTCACACTGATTCTTCCAACCTTCCGGGAACTACAAATCTCATCCTACCAGTGTGTCTTCCTAAGCGTGGGGGCGATCTTTGGGTTGAGTTAGGTAGTGGGGATGTTGTTAGGGGGTCTATTGTAGAGCACACTGATGCACGAGGTCGCAAGCGTCACGGTGTGGTGCACAGACTTGAAGAGGATGAAGTTTTCGAGTTTGATCCTAAGCGGCATCATTTCGTAACTCCCTTCAAGGGCACCCGCGTCGTTGTTATAGGCTACACTTCCGACGTGCTTGGAAAGGCCGAAAAAGATGACCTTGACGGCTTAGCAGATTTGGGATTTCCTCTCCCAGACTCCGCCTATCTCCAGGCCCCGCGTCTGTCTCAAGTACAGGAGGAGGAGGAGGAGGCCACTGAGGCTCATGAGATCCCTATCCATCAACACCCTAGCTTCCCGGAGAGCCAACCCGTCAACAAAGGTGGTGGTTGGCAAGAGGTCTTTCCAGTTGCAGGTGGGTTTGTAGACTTCGCTGTGAACTGGTCGTGTTCGTATCGGCCAGTTGCCCCTGTATGCAGCCCCTCTAAAGAGGAGGCCGGACCAGAGCAGAACCAAAGACCCGTTGAGATTGATGAGGCCTGGCCGGTTACTGTGTCTTGGGACATGTATGTTCCGCAGGAGCCCATGAGCGATGCCGCAAACGCCAGCAACTGCAGCTTGAGGGTGCTTAAGGTTGTAGAAAGTGGTTCGCGGAGCTCGTTAGAGGAGGAGGGTTTCGTAAGCGAAGGTAGACCCGTAATCCCCTACCGCCTGTGCAAAGCCGAACCGACGTTCACGAAGAACATAGAACACCTTCTAAGCAATCTAAGCTCACCTCTGCAAATCGTTCACACTGTAGACCCCGCAGAAGTCGCACTCAATCCAATCCCTTGGATTCCGTCCATTGAGAAAGAAGTAAAGGCCATTGAGCATGCGGTGCTCAGACTGCGCCCTTCAGACCCCAGGCAGGCCGAGTACTTGAGTGATCCTCGACTGCAGGTGGTACCTTCCAAGTTTGTGTTCACAGTGAAACCGCCCGACCAAGGGGCAGCAGCTGTTGGTGACACTGGGAAGCTTGCGCTCACTCAGCCCGACAACAGTACAGAGGCCCTTCAGGGCGCTCCAAAGGCTTCGTCGCAAGGCCAAAGTTTGTACCGTCGGAAAGCGAGACTTGTTGCTTGCGGAAATGTGGCGCCAAATACAGGCTTGGATGTGTATGCTGGAGGTGCTCAGGCTGAGAGCTTGAGAACAGTGATTGCCCTGGCAAGCTTCTTTGGTTGGTTGTTGGGAGTGTTGGATATCACCAGCGCGTTCCTCAAAACGCCTATTCCTTGTCTTGAAGGTTTCCCCATCTTTGCGTTGACCCCGCCCCGCTTGTTGGTCAAGCTTGGTCTTGCAGTTGCACATGAGCTGTGGATACTATCCCACGCGGTTTACGGCCTTCGAGAGGCCCCGCGCTTGTGGGGACAGTATCGAGATGCTTGTTTGGCAGCGTTGGTGTGGGACCTTGACGGCGTGACCTACCGGCTTGAGCCTTCGACCCTAGACCCGAACTGGTGGAAAGTCGTCAGGGTTGAAGGTGGTCGCGTTGAGGGCGCATTGTTGGTGTACGTTGATGACTTCTTGTTGTGTGGGTCGCTAGGTGTCCTTCAAAGTTTGGCAAAGGCTCTGCAAGAAAAGTGGGCCACAACACCGTTTGTGGTAGCTACCCCAGAGCAGCCGATCAAGTTCCTTGGCGTGGACATCATTGTCATTCCTCGTGGGTTTGTTCTCTCACAGCAGTCGTACGCAGAAGAAGTCTTGCGGCTTCATGAGGTACCTTGCCACGTGAGGGGTAGAATCCCTTGTCCTCGGGAGCTAGCGTCGTTTGAAGTTGGCGAAGGAGACTCCAGCCCCCCTGACGGGGAGGCCGTTCACCGCGCGCAACAGGTGACTGGTGAACTGCTGTGGTTGTCTCAACGTACTCGCCCGGACCTGGCGTTCACTGCCAGCTTGCTTGCTAGTTTGTCTACGAAGGCGCCTTGTCGTGCTCTACGCATTGCTGACCGTGCCTTGGCTTACTTGCAGCGAACCAAGACAGCGTCGCTGGTGTTTGAGGCGGACGGAACCCAACTTCACGGTTGGAGTGACGCAAGCTTCTCGCCAGAAGGCCTTCGCTCACATGGAGGCTGGTGCGTGTGTGTGCATGGATGTCCAGTTGCTTGGAGGTCGGCGCGTCAAGCTTTTGTGACACTTTCTACTGCTGAAAGTGAACTCACTGCTTCGATTGAGTGTGCAATCGCGCTTGAATCAATTGAGGCGTTGCTTCACACGGTTGGTTTTGACGTTGCGGAAGAAAGGGTTTTGCACGTTGATTCCCAAGCGTCACTTGCGATTTCTGACGGTCATGGATCATGGAGAACGCGACACCTACGGGTAAGAGCTGAGTACCTTCGTGAGCAGACTCGCTCTGGGAAGCTGAGGCTTGCCTTCTGCCCGGGTGTGGAACAGCTTGCAGATCTACTGACCAAACCTCTTCCGTCTGCAAGGATTGAAGAGCTTGTCAGGTTATGGGGCATGCGTGACTTTGCGGGTGATACAGCCGACCGAGAGGTCAGGCCGAGCTCGTCAGCAGCTGTCGACCCAGTCGCGTTGAGTGCCTTGTTGTGTTTGCTTCAAATCCAACCTGCACGAAGCTCAAGCCGTGAATCCGAGTATCCTGGCTTGCAGCTTGATGGATCCCTGGAGCTGTACTTCGTTCTTGGCATGGCATTGGTTTGTGTCCTTGTTGTGTGGGAGTGGTTGAAGAGATTGTGGGATCGGCTTGATGCGTGGTGGGCTGGTTCGCATGCGTCGTCTCGTCGAGCCCGTCGTTTGAGGCGTATGCAGAGAGCTGTTGAGGATGAGCTTGCTGCCCAACTGCAGGGCATGAGTCTTGAGGACGTGTCTTCCAGACCACCAGCAGGTGAGTCCACAGCTCACAACGAGAGGGCACCTGTGCCTTCGCAGTCCTCCCACGAGTTGCCTGCTGCACCACGGCCCAAGGCCACACAGTCTCGTCGCCGCCCTGCAGTGCGTGAGCAGTCTACTCAAACGGATCGTGAGCCTGCTTTCCAACCAGTCACAGGAGTCCCACCAGATCCGATGCCTGCCAGGATCGAAATCCGCACGCAGTATGAACTTCCCCAAGGTCCCTTTTACTTCACTGCGCACGGGGATTGTGTTCATCTAGATTCTAATTGTTGGGGTTTAAGGCGTAATACACCCTTAACTACCCGCAACTTGTGCCGTGTTTGCAGAGACCGCCACCGCACAGGTCTCTAAAGGCAAGCCAAGGTTCAAGGCTAGAGGTCCCAGGAACGGGCATGCTGTAAATAGTGCAGCGTGTGCTAGTTGCCTGTCGGCTCTAGCAAGGAGGAGTGTTGAAATGCTTCTCACTGCATGCCCAGGTATCAGGTTAGACAGGTGTGTAGTCTGCTTGAAGGGATTGCCGGCACTTGTATAGTTTCCTTCAGGTAGGCTTGTACATGTGTGTTTCCTGTATCCTTTGGCTTAGGGGAAGGCTGCGTAGGAAAGCCTCTTGAGCCATGTGTACTGTAACCAACAACTTGTAAAGCTGTACAGGTCGTTTGTTGGTTTGTCGGTTCTCTTGTTGCTTCGTTGAGATCGTGAGTCGCCTCTGCGCCCAGCCATAGAAAACATTCTGCGTGAGCTTCGCTGCAGGGTATGGCCACCCAGGGTGAACACCTTCAACAAAAGCCCTTAACCCTTAAGCCATCCCCCGAGGATCCTCTCGCCTCTTCTGGCCGGCACCTTCTTCGGCGTCCAGGTGCTGCTTGCACAAGGGGGGAGGTGTTTGAAGATCGGGGTGTAGGGTTTGGGGGTATGGGTTTAGGGTTTAGGGTGTAGGGTTTGGGGGTTTATGGGGTCTTGTTCAAAGCATGAGCTTTAAAGTCGAGGCCCGAGCTTCCAAACTTATAGAACCTTTGTAGAGCGCGTCCCTCTGGATCGAGGAGGGGGGTGAGGCATCATCATCTTTCGTCCCAAAGCGCCCCCCTAAACCCAAAACCCAAAACCCAAAACCCTAAACCCCCTAAAACCCTAAACCCCAAACCCCCAAAACCCTAAACCCCTAAACCCCAAAACCCCAAAACCAGAGGCCGTCTTCGGGCTCCTCACGGGCTCCCTGGGCTCCTCCGTGCAGCTCGCCATCTCCATGTCCAACTCGGGCGGCGCCTGGGACAACTGCGCCTTGGCTTTTGGGGATGAGGGTTTAGGGTTTAGGGGTTAGGGTTTAGGGATGAGCGTTTTGGGGCTTGGGGTTTAGGGTTTAGTTGAGGGTTTAGGGATGAGGGTTTTGGGGCTTAGGGTTTAGGGATTAGGGTTTAGGCCCCGAGGGTTGAATTCGGTAGTTTTTTTTTTTTTTTGGGGGGGGGGTTGAGGGGGTTTGGGGTTAATTTTGGGTTGAAGGTTTGAGTCTGTCGTAGCGGGGTTAAGGGGCTTGGGGAGAAGGATATTCCCAGAGATCCCGATACCCCTTGATTAAGGAATAGACCTTACGTCATAATATTCAGGCTTCCAAAATTTGAGGTATATTCCTTAGTTAGGGGGTATTGGGTTGTCTGGGTTGAGTGTTGGGGGTGGAACTTATGCCTTCATATTCTTTCCTGCGAGAGGTGTATCAATCGAAAGGGGCAGGGAGTCGAACTCCGAAGCGGTAGACACCGAAACCCTAGACCCCAATTCCTAAACCCCAAACCCTAAAACCCAACCTCTAAGCCCTCTAGCATATTCCGAAACCCCAAACCCTAAAACCTAAACTCTAAGCCCTCTAACATAAGGCAAGAAGTTCATCAAGAACGGCTTCTCCGATGATCCTGAGCCGCTGAACAGGAGCAGAGGGTCGTCTCTAGGGCTTGGGGTTGGGGATCAGGGTTTAGGGGTATAATATAATATAATATAATATAATATAATATAATATAATATAATATAATATAATATAATAATATATATACATATATATATATATATATATATATATGTATATATATATATACATATATATATATATATGTATATATATATATGTATATATATATATATATATATCGTATATATATATATGTATAACTTGGGTATAGGTATGGGCTTAGCAAGTGGGGTCTGGGGTTTAGGCTTTAGGACGGTGTCCGGGTTGGATTCTTCTGAAGGGCTTTCTGAAGGAGGGGGCCCTTGAGACTCCACTTCTTGTACGCAGATCCGAAACTGGTTTGGGAACAGGGTTCAGGGAACACTGCTTAGGGTTCAGGGTGCAGGGTTTAGGGTTGGATTAGGGTTTGGGGTGTGGGTTTAGGGTGTAGGTCCTAGGTAGGGACAGGGTGTAGGGTGACATTGTCAGTTGAGCTGCCACCATGTGGCAGGCAAACCCTCTTCCTTGGCACCTATAAATTCTTGAACCTCCCACACCCCCAAACATTCAACCGAAGTCCTAAACCCAACACCCCACACCGTAGCGGCGCGAACCCCTAAACCCTGACCTAATCCTAAACCCTAACCCTTAAACCCAACACTTCGAGGCCCTCAACCTTAAACCAACACTTCGAAGCCCTAAACCTTAAACCAACACTTCGAAGCCCTAAACCCAAAAATTCCCGAACCCCCAAACCCTTTCGCCTAGGCTGCGCTACACGAAGAACCCCCGTACTCCGGATGAGATCAAGGCCGCACCCAAGGCTCCAACCTTCTCGGGTTCAGGGCTTCGAATAGGTTCCTTGAGGGCTCCTTTCTTTCCTTTAGATGGTGCCTTCAAGGGTTGCATGTAATTAAGGGTTCCGAAGGACCCTAAACCCTTCTCTGAGGGTTCCCTGAAGGTTTTGATTGACTTAATGGTGTTTCTGAAGGAGCTTTTTGGGCTAGGGTATCGCATTTTAGGATTCTGTACACACGCCAATGGAGCCCTTTCTGTGAGGATTGGGTTTAGCATCCCAGAGTTTGGGGTTCAGGGTTCAGGGTTGGGTTTAGGTTGAGGTTGAGGGTGCGGTTCTGTTTGGGGGTTTGGTTATCGGGGATTGAGTGTCCATCTCAAACTTGTCAGAAGTTGTTCTCGTAAACAGGAGTCAGTTTCTTTATGAACGGCTCTTCTAAGGCTTCGTTTATGCCCTGGCGCCCTCCCGATAAATCCCCGTTTAGAGCCCAAAGCATCCTCCAAACACGAATGCCTCAGCATGCCGGAAAAAAGCAGAGCCCTTCAAGGGAACCCTGCAACTCCCTTTGTAGGGTTTCGGGGTTTAGAGGTTTGGGGTTTAGGGTTTAATTGAAGGTGTAGTTTTTCTGCAGGACTGGGTTTGGCTCTTTCTTTCTGCCCTTTCGGTCCAGGCCAAGGAGGCTCACGACGCGGCCGTCCAGGGCGACACCGTCGGAGATCCGTTCAAGGTGCGAGCTCTTCGTTCTGCTTAAAGGGTGAGGGTTTCATCAAGGGTTTAGGGGGTAGGGTTACGGGTTAGTGCAAGCCTATATCGCCTTCGAAGTGAAGAAGTATACGTGGCATGCCATATATACACGTTATGTTGAGGTTCCACCTCCACGGAGTGCTTCAAAGACACCTGCTTGGTGGACTCTTTCTACAATTGGCAATAGCTTGCCGATTTGCAAAGATTGCCCATTCTTTGCGATGACGGCACCCCTGTGCTGATGTGTCTTCAGCTCGAAGCTCAACGCATGGGGCGTGTGAACGAAGTACTGCCCATCTGAACGACCGTCATGTATCGTATACGCGTTTATGAATTGTGTTGCCAAACCCACGAGTCCGCAATGTGGCGGGCTGGTTTCCAGCTCGCATGTGCATACGCAATTTCGTTGCAGCGTACCGCAACCCTCGGCTCAATCATGTGCTAGTGTATTTACTGCATGCCAGTCATTTCTTTCTCTCGGTGATTCCTGCCCTATGCGCAGATATTCTTGCTCGCATCAGGTCGCAGAGGAAACGGGTCGAGTGTCTGTTTGCAGCGTCGGTCCGGCAATGGATCAACGTCGATCACCCCGAATCCAACAGATTGAGAACAAAGTTGACCTTTTCAACATATACGTCACTACCAGAAGCTCAAAGTGAGGGGAGCCATCTTCAAGCATTTACCCACAATCCCAGCAACATCGCACAGATCGACAAAGCCGAGCTGCCCGCTTTCTTATCAGAGCACCGAAGCCCGTGCATGCAAGCCGACGTACGTCATTTTGTCTGGCGATTGCTACAACCGGCTTTCAATATGAGTTTGTTTTCGCATCACGTGGCAACGCTTTTGTCCATCAAGACCAGGTCTCTTGCCCAGTCAAAGAGACACTGCCACAAGCCCTCTCCTGCGCGCCAAGGCATGCTCACACCATTGTCTTGCATTCTGTGAAACTGCACAAAAACTTGGTAGACCTGGCCAGGGTGATCCGAATGTTTGCACAAGCAGTTGCAGCTCGGCGCTGGCTTTGTCCGCGCGGATTCCCAGAATAGGGGAGCAGGTTTTCGGTTCCAGCCAAATAATTGCTGATGCTCAGCATTCGTGGCCGGACCCGGTCGTTCAAGCTGTTGTCATTCTCGCCTGACAGCATGCGCAGTATGAGCGGTATGCCAAACACGACCATTGATGCAGCTCCGCTTAGGGCTGTGCAGAGCGAACGACCCAGCACCTTAGAGTGCCTTTCTGCAAACTCGCTCCCGTGGCCTTTTGCACTGTGCTTCACCTGCTTCTGCTTCGCGGCAGCTCTGAGCTGTTGGACTGAAGGTGCCGTATTATGAGCATGGCACATTCGTCGCTCTGCGAGATGGAAACGTCATGTTGAGGCATTTCCAGCATTTTAGCCGAGTCAACAAAACTACCGCCTGTGTGTGTGCGCCTGTGCGTGCCAAAAACAGCTGTGATATCCACAGATTGCTCTCGCGGCAGACACTGGTGTACTTGCGCCGGGACGTTCTGTACAAAACTTTTCATGTCGTCGGCTTCAGGACCTTCGACCAGGGTGTCTGCTGTCTGCAGAATTTCTGCCAGTCACCGCACTTATGAAGGAACGGACGTGCAGCTCTCCGACATAGACCTTGATCAGTGCGAACAAGTTCTTCGGTGTTTGGCCAGGAAGAACAGACATCTACAGATATCCCGCAGACTATACTGCAGAGTCCGTATAAAAGAAAGGTGAATGTAACCGTTACGTGATATCGGCCCGCAGTCCGAGGCACATCACGCGTCCTCGATTTCGATTCCGAGCGGAGCCCGGCAAGACATGTGCTCTATCGCCAGATTCATTTCTGCGGGCTATGACATCATGTTATTTGACCAGAACTCAACGTGCGCACGACAACCTTTGCATGAGGGCGTCTCGCTGTCGAGCCCATGGCATTCCTGGCTGACATTCCGGAAGGGCCGGAACAACAGGCATCAGTCTGCCAGCTCTTCATGCTCCCTTCGCCAATACCGGCCACTGTTAGACTATGCTGGGACATTATCCCATTGCAGCCGCAGCCTTCTCTCTGCAATCATTTTTGGTTGTCTCTCCAAGAAGCCTTGGATGGGATGCGCCGCTTTTGACGTGTTCTTGCCCGTTAATGTGCGAGGTATGCACGTTGGGGTCAGGGAGTGGAATGGGCAAAGGCGACCTTATTGCCGAGTCGACAACATCTTCCGAGAAAGCATCACCTGGTCGATTGGAACTGATGACTTTCCGGCAAGACCATGTCGGCCAGCATGCATTCACGACCTCCCCGTGCGATCAGCTGGTTGCACTTGAAGTGGGGCTGAATGGTGTGGGTGTCGGGGGCGATCGACTCCGAGATGGAGAACACGGTGATGGTGCTGTGGGATTGGGTTGTCGATGTAGGCAAAGTGAATGCAGTCATGGGTGCTAAAATTTCCGTGGTTATTTCTACCGGTAAAAGTGTAACTTTTCACTTGGGCTTATGGAAGTTTTTCTGCCAGTTTGAATGCCAGTATTGTCCATATCCGTTTTGTCATGTTAGAACTTGTCCCAACCAACCATATCGTAATTGCCGTTAGCTCCCGGTAAATAAATTTGTACATGTCTGTAACGCTTTCCCCAAAAGCCGCGTTTTCAAACTCCAAGTCTGACAAAATTAAGACTTTGGCATAGCGCATTGAGGAAGCGAACCAGTGCATAAACCTGGAGTCTCGAAACCTGCACCGTTATCGGATGTTATCGGTTTCAAAGCTTCCAAAGGTGTTATGCGCAGGAGCTCATTTTAACTGTTTAGCATTGTTTTGTGCTGCATGAAAGGAATATTCTGCGTGTTTGCAGCAGGACACTTCTGGCCCTGCTCTGAACATCGTGATGAAGCTGCAGGCGGGCCGCCAGCGGCTGCTTTCAGAGTTGTAAGTACGGTTGATGCGCGTAATCTTGCATTTCAACGCACATTGAACTTAAGGACTTCTGAAAATGTCTCGCAGTGCAAAATCGTAAAAACAGGAAACTACGCCTCCGTCGCTCTGCTTCTGCGCTGTTCCTGTTCGTATATTATCAAGCACGAACTTTAAAACCCAAGAAGCGGAAGCCCTCAAGCCTTAGGCCCGCCATGCTTAGACCCGAGACCAGAAGCTGCAGGCCCAATTGTAAGGGATTTCTGGTTTGGAAACCCCCCTCAGGCGATCGTGTCCTTGGTCTTCGCTGCTTACTTCGCTGCCATCAACAACGGCCATGGATTCCTCGGCCAGGCGACTCTTTGAGGTGCGGCAAAGGAGTGCTTGGGGTTTTGAGTTCAGGGGTTTTGGTTTGGGGTTCAGGGTTTAGGCTTTAAGGTTCAGGGTTTAGGGCTCAGGGTTTAGGGATTAGGGTTCTTGAAAGGTTTCATGCCGGTTGCGAGATTTGTACTGGTTGGGGTTTTCTTGTTTGGGCTCTACAGTTTTAGGGCTGTCATGTCGTGGGATCAAGTTTGGCGAATCAATTCGGAATCTAGGCTTTAGGATTTTGGTGTATCCGTCACGGAATTCCTTTCTGCAAAGTGTTTCTTCACGATCTAGGTGCATGCACTTGGATGCGCACAGCTTTCCGGTTGTTTCAGCATAGACACTGAGTCCTGAAGCTTCTACATAATCATGTAAGGCAGGCTAGTGAGGAGCATGTGGAATATGAGTTAAACAACCCCCTCCGTTCCCAGGCCGGAGGGCCGAAGACTTGAAACTTCAAATTGTGACATTATGAACATCACCATGTCTTAAATAATACTATACAGAATTTTAATCTAAACTACATCTATCCAAAACGAAGAAAGAGGGGAAGCTCTGAACCTCCACCCAAAGCCCCCGGCTGCAGGCTCTTGACATGAGTGGAATCTGACAGCCTCTCCATGACATGCAGTTTTGAACCTGCCTCGACGGCGCGCGCCGGTGGCCAGGGTTCGGGCGATTGGCCTTTTCTTTGTGGCAGCGGGCCTCATGCTAGGAAACTTACTCAGACTGCATAAAGGATCCAACAAAGAGAACATCCAAACAGGTCGGCATCCCACCACTAGATGGGTTGGGACAAGTGCTGTTTCTACTTGAAAGTTCATCGGTGGTGAGGCGGAGGTTGCTTTACTCGATAGCGTATTGACTAGTTACCACAGTTGCTGGTTCCGTTCCCTGGTGCTTGCGTGTTCTGAGTGCGGTAACACTGTAGGCTTTACGGTGTGAGTAAACGCATGAAATCGTTGTCCCCGGGAGGCTTGGGAGGCTTGGGAGGCAGGCGCAAGCGGCAATTCCGCGGCTCTTCCTCGGTGCGGTTCGCATCTCCGAATAGATCGCGTTCGACACAGTGTAGTACTAAAGGGTTTTGAAGATTTACCAACATTATTTTGGGGCTTCCCTACTACAGTTATATAGTGTATCCCAAATCAGCTATAGTATAATATACCTTACTACAGTTATATAGTGTATCCTAAATCAGCTATAGTATAATATACCCCAAAGTCTCCGTTCCAACATGTTCCAACGATCACGGCAGCTACATTCCGCGTTTTGGGACTCACGGGCTGGTCTGGGGAATGCAGTGCTGTTCTGGGTACTTTGGTACTGTTTCGTGGTCTACATATGGATAGTTGTCAAAATTCTGGTCCCTTTTTGGGTACCCTAAATAATAGGTGCCGTATTACATTAGGGACCCCAAAAGGGGCCATAATTTTGACAACTACCCATATAGCTATACCTAGCAAAGAAGGAAAGAGCTGTTATCTGCGAACAAAGTGATGCAAGTCGAGCCTAGCATGGGGCCCGCTAGCCAGCCCAGCTTTTAAGCGCAGCTCCCGCCTGCGCCAAGATATTCCAGAACCCTCCGGGGAGGAAGGTGCTTGGCGATACTACGGCTCGGATGTTGCATCCGACACTTAGACTTTTGAAGGCACGGCCAAGCAAAAGAGAAGGTCCGAAATGCAGCTTTGGGTTCTGCTTAAGTCGGGATACCGCAGCAAGGATACTATACTGTGGTTCACCTTTTTCGTGGTAACTTCGATAGGTTCCGGAACGAGAACGGCATATACCAATTGTGGTTAAACAAGGTGCTGCTCCGACAGCGCTTCCTGTTTCGGTACGGGGGTGTCTCGGCCCTGGATTGGCGCTTGAGATTTCGGGGTGTCACAACAGCCTCTGTTGCAGGGCTCCAGCTGTATCTTGCCGTAGTTTTCAATGCTCGCAAAGTCAAAAGCCCTTCTCCTGAGCTCCTTCTGCCCGGCCGTATGATGCGCCTCTTGCCCCTTGTCCTTCTCAGGGTCCGGAGGCAAGCCCTTGCCGATGCCATGCCTCGGCAACACAAACGACTGCGAACAGAGCACCGGCGCACCCAACACAAATGCCGGCTTGCAGGGTATGTGGGCAATTAAGATGACGGCTCTCCGGGATTTTGCAATTGCAAAGAGCTGCGATGCCTGCACTCGGAAAGCCTGGGTCACCTATCCAGGCATGAGCCCGGAGCACCAGGCGTTGATCAGCGACAGCTGGTTTTTTGGTCCCCTGAGGCAGATGATGGAGATCGATCCAAAAAGTAGATCCCTTGATGGGGTTTCTATAAAGTACCCCTGGTAGTATAGGGCCCCAAATTAGGGGATCTACCTTCCCTTATAGATCCTCTTCAGAGCACCGGTACGGCTGGACAACATGCCGAACGGGGCAGATCAACGCTTCATGAAGGACGATGCCCGGATGTGGAACCCCAAGCCCTGAAGCCCTGCGACTTTGAACCCCAAAAACCCTAAAAAACACGCCAAAGCCCTAGAAACCTTAAACCCTAAACCCTAAACCACTGGGCCCGTCATGAAGGAGACGATGGATCTGATCTGCAGCATGAAGGGAGGTGCCGTGGTGGGGATCGCGTCTTCGGTGCTGAAAATGGTGACCGGGTCCAGAGGTAATGCGGTTGATGATATAAATCCTGCATGACCCATAATAAGGAATATACCATAATTCCCATAGTTTAGGGTCCTTAAGGTCATGCAGGATTTATACCATCAACCGTACCTCCCTTGCCCTTAAAGAGATGTTGGGTGTCGGGTTTAGGGCACGAATTCTTCATGGGTTTCCTGGGGAGCCGAGGTGAACATCGCCCTGCAGAAAGTTGGAGCAGGCAGCCGGGAACGGCCGTGGCGTTCGAGAGACTGGTCTTGGAGGTTTGGGTGTCAGAAAGTAGGGGTCTCCTAGTTAAGGGGGTCCTCATCATACGGATCTTTTTTAAGCAGTGCGTATGCCCGCTTGTTTTCTGTCTCCCAGGTGTGGTTGTGGGGAGAACACGTGGACCAGCACGTCAGACCATGCAGCTTACATTGATTCCTGCGACGGAGACATCGTATCGATCTGGACATGGTCGGGTCGCCTCTTCATCGATCGTGGGACCTTCTTTACCTGGGGATCAGACTCCAAGAATGGACGACCATGTCCGGGCACGTCTGGACCTGTAGGCAGTGCTCTTTTCGAGTTCATTGAGGTGCCACATCCCGGCTCCGACTAATTCGAAGCCGTCGATGGCGTTTTGAGCCAGTCGGATGTTGCATAGGCCCGACAGGCTCTCGGTGCACGTGTTGGCACGGTGCAAATGCCATGAGCCTCTGTCAACTCTGCTAATTGTGCTCGGCTCTATTCAAGTTGACAGAAGCTCAGGTGGGGTTGCAGTGTACTGCCAGCGGTTTGAATCCTCGGCTGCGGATGTGAATGCGCGTCCAGAGTCTGGTGGACTTTCACTCCAGCTTCGAATTTTGGATTGAAACGAGGGGATAGGGATTCATAGGGCTTAGGGAGTGGAGCTTGAGGGTTTGGGATTTAGGGTTTTGATATTGGGTAGCAGGTAGAGTCAGAAGATTCACCCTACTTGTGACTTATTTGGGGTGATAGGTAGTACTGCAATCACTGCCGCATGCTTTCTGCAACTGTCTCGAAACCTTCATTGCAGCTCGGGTCACCGTGATCGTAGGTACATCCTCAAAAGTGCACGGCCAAGTATCAGGGTTTTCCACCACTGTTGCGAATCCGAATGACTAACATCTTGCAACGAATATCAGCATTGAGCACATAAGAAGACAAAGGCTACGAGCATGTAACACACCGAAGAGTCGCAGCTGAAGTCTAAAGCCCAAACTCTAACAACTTGGGCCCCAAGAAAGCCTAACACCCTAAAGCCCTGGAGCCCTAAAGCCCTTAAGCCCCACAACCCCAAAACAAGCCTCGTGCTGTGATTTCGGCGGCTCCAGCCTTCGCGCCTTCCGCATAGACCGGGCCTGAAGCTGACTCTAGTGCTCAAATGGCGGTGATGTCTCTTCTGCTTCTCCTGGTGCCTTAGGCGTACTTAGAAATATGTTTTTAGTTTTGAAATTTTGGGTTATTGTAATCCCTAAGAAACAGCTAAAGTTTTAATTTTTGCGAGGGTTCTAAGTTCAGTATAGGTGCCTGGACTCCCAAACCCGAAACCCCTAAACCCAGAAGCGAAGCCCTAGCCCCACACATCTGTCATAGGACTTGAGCCGTAAGCCGGAGGGCTGGTATCTCCTTGAAGTTCAGGGCCTGGGGGGTTGAGGGTGGTTTAGGGTTTAGGGTTTAGGGTTTAGGGTTTAGGGTTCCTGTTATAACTTACCTTTGGTTAGTAGGGAATGGAGGAATGGGGTACAATTACAACTACTATCACTACCATTCTTCCATTCCCTACTGACCAAAGGCAAGATAATTGATATTGTCTGATCGTCCCTGCCTTTACTGTCCCATCCCAGAAGACCTTTTTGCATTCTCTTCGGTTTTCGGCGCTGAGAACGTTTGGTCCCCAAATGTAGGGCTTGGGGCCTGGCCCTTCTTTCGTTTCCTGTTATCTACATAATGGGGGCTTTGATAAGGGCTCGGAAGTTATACTCAAGCTGCCCTGTTTGGAGTGCATGGTGAACCCACTGGTAACATCACCGAGCAACCCCTCACGACCCAAGCCAGAGCACCCCCAAAGGTGTGTCGGGGCTTCGTGGGCTAGTAAGGGTTCCACAACTACAGTCACATATTACCCCTAAACCCATCAGCTCCGAAACCCCCTAACGAAACGGCCCAAAGTCCCCTGAAAGCCAAGACGCGGTCTGAGGTGGCGCCCAGCGCCGTCGTAGCTACACCTTGCTCTGGGCTCTACGGTGCTGAGGCGTTGACCTGCGCCTGGGAGCAGGCGCCTAGCGATTTCCTTTCTCCGGTTGGTACTTCGTGGGCTGTTGAGGGGTTTCGATTCATTGGGGGCGTTTGGGGCGTTTGGGGTTCAGGCTTTGGGGCTCTTCCTGGTTTCGCGTCATGGTTCCGCTACTCTCATCATGTGCGCTTTGCTTGTGCAGCTTGCACTGGTTGCTGCTACCGAGGCCTCCAAGCAGTGCAGACCAGCTCTAAACTCCAAACCCTGTACCCTAAACCCTGGGCCCAGTCTCAGTCTCTACCCGAAGCCCTAGACTCTGAAGCCCAGGCCCTAAACCCCCAAAACCCTGGGCCAGGATGTGAAGACCTGCATGGAGACCAGCTGCCACGGCTGCTCTGGTGAGCCCTGCCAGCTCTGCAGAGAGGACCGTGGGTTTAGGGTGTACTGTTCAGGGTACGGGCACATTTGGCTCCCTAATATGATACGGCACCTATTATCTAGGGTACCCAAACAGGGACCCCTATTCTGACAACTACCCACATATCTGCATACATGTGGGCTGCAAATAGATAGAGCTGCCTCAGCTTGCAAGCCCAGAAGCCCCAAAGACCCGAGACCCAACAAGCCTGCATCCTAAACCGTAAAGTTGTAAAGCCTTAAAGCCCTAATGTAAGGGCTTTAAACAATAAGAGTAGGGTTTGTGGGGTTCCTTACTTTAACTATAATGTAATCATTCTAATTCTTAAGGCCCCCACAAGTCACTGAGCTCCACCCACCCGAGCCTCAGGACACGGAGAAAATCCACGACTGCTGCCAGAAGCCGCCTGTCTCCGACTCTTTGGGGTTTCGGGTTTAGGGTTGAGGGTTTAAGGGTTTAGGGTCTAGGGGTTTAGGGTTTTGGGTTTAGGGGTTTAGGGGTTTGGGGGTTTCGAGGTTCAGGGTTTAAGGGTTTAGGGTTTAGGGTTGAGGGTTCAGGGCTTAGGGTTGGGCAACTACCAAAGTGTTCTTCAACAGGGCTCCTAAAGAGAGTTGCTCCAAAACATCCCGGGAACCCCTATTCCAATTATTAAGGCCGTCGGATTCTGGGGTTTAGAGGTCTTACGTCGCAACTCGGGTTGTGCTTCGTGGGGAAGGGAAATTTGTACTGCAAACTCAGCCCGGGTCGAGGCAGAGGAGGCATGCAAACAGGCGCAGGCAGGAAAGGTAGGAACAAGAATCGTCCTTTGGTACAGCTGTTAACTTGAGTCATGCTCGGATGGCTCTGGCCCGGCGTTCAAAGGAACACGATGAAGTAGAAGCGGTTAAAGGTATCAGGCGTCGCTAGAATGCAGTAGAAAAGGCACCAGCAAGGTGGCACTAATGGAAACAGCAGCGAGCAACACTGCAAATTCAGGGGGGGTTCTGCCACGGTTGCTGCTGTTCCTAGCACCACCAACTTCGATGGATCTTGTTGATAAGAGCTTTTTCTGTGTGAAACTCCCAATAGAAGTTGCCAACACGAGGTTCTTGTTCGGATTCGTAGACCTGCTTGCTCACAACCCTCAAGCCCTAAAGCGCTAAGTAAAGCCGAATGCTAGACCCTACCACTGAAGTTGTGAGGCATTACCACTCGGCATCGCCACCCTTGATGTGCGAGCAGCGCGGACTTCAATGTCCAAGCAGCCGACCGGTTCGGGTTTAGGGTCCCTAAGCTGGAGGCCCTGGGTTCTCAATCCGATTTTGTGTTTAGGGTCTGGGGTTCGTAGGGTTTAGGAATAAAGGATTCCGAGAGCAGCTTTGGGGAAGGGGATTCAAGGCTTTTAGAGTCCTTAGTAATTAGAATAGGATTTTGCGGCTTCCCTTCTTTAATCATGGTATATACTATGCTAGTTATTAAGTAAGGTCCCTACACTGCAGGGCTGAGAGGGTTTGGAGTGTAGCTCTGAAGAAATGACTTGAATCCGAACCCTAAGAAAGGCCGTTCTTGTCATTGGTAGATTGATTCTTGGGAGTAAACTGATTCTTCGTTTGGTAAAGGATATTTGTGAGAAGGGAGAAAAACTTCAAGATTTTAAGATCCTCCAGGATAAGCACAGAAAACTAAACCCGCCCTAAGCCCTATACTCTGAAACCTCTACCCTAAAACCCTATACCTACACCCCAAACCCTCAAGGCCTAGGCTCCAGGGTTCTGAGCGAAATGCCGCGACAAGGAGTGCTGCCATCACGGAGGGCGTGAAGGCGTGTGTACAGGCGCCCTGGTCGAACTCATCAAGCCTTAAAGCCTTCAAGTTCTGAAGCCTTCTCAGCCTTCTAAACCCCAAATCTTAAGCAGCCTTCAACATCTTGAACCCTGAACCCCTAAGCCCTAAACCCCAAAAGCCCTAAACCCTAAACCCCTAAACCCTAAACCCCTAAGCCCTAAAGCCTAAACCCATAACCTAAAACCCCCTAAACCCTAAACCCTTAAGCCCCCAAGCCCCTTTACTTAAAACCCAAAAGCCCCAAACCCCAAACCCTATGCCCTAAAGCCCCAAACCCCCAAGCCCCTTTGCTTAAAACCCCCAAGCCCCTTTGCTTCAAACCCTAAAGCCCCAAAGCCCAGGCCGAGTGCCGAGGCTGCTCCGGGGAGCAGTGCCAGCTTTGCCAGGAGGCGGCCTTGTAGCTTTGGCTTTCGGTTTTAAAGTAGCTAGGGTTTAGGTTGAGGGTTGAAGGGTAGTTTTTTAGGTTGAGGGTTGAAGGGTATTTTTTTGGACTCTGAAAAAACAACCCTTAGCTTTAAGGGTCCCTCTTGGTATCCAGAGTTTTTTTTGGCTCTGACAAACAAAGTCCGTGGTCAGATTATGGGGCTGGGTAGGAGTCTAATCTCTTATAGGAAAAGGTTTAGGGTTTAGGGTTGAGGGTTTAGGGTTTAGGGTTTAGGGTTTAGGGAACCCTTCTATAACCCTCAGGAAACCCTTAAAGGAATCCTACGCCAAGAGCAAAACGGCTCTTTGACAGGATTCCGCTCGCATCTCCGCCTGCTGCACTCAGCACGATGTCAGCGCAGCTTGGAAAGAAGTCGCAGGGTTCCCTTTAAAGGTTCCGGGTTTAGGGCTTCAGGGTTTAGGGTTTAGGGTTTAGGGGTTTAGGGTTTAGGGTTTAGGGGTTTAGGGTTTAGGGTTTAGGGGTTAGGGTTTAGGGGTTTAGGGTTTAGGGTTTAGGGGTTTAGGGTTTAGGGTTTAGGGGTTAGGGTTTAGGGGTTTAGGGTTTAGGGTTTAGGGGTTAGGGTTTAGGGTTTAGGGTTTAGGGGTTTAGGGTTTAGGGTTTAGGGGTTAGGGTTTAGGGTTTAGGGTTTAGGGTTTAGGGGTTTAGGGTTTAGGGTTTGGGGTTTAGGGTGTTCCTGTGAGACTTCAATACGGGTGCTAGCAAGGTTACTACTTGGCTACTGTAAGGGTTACCATCAGGGACAAGCGCATCTACAAGGCTTCCCATAAGTGTTGCCTTAAGTCCTGCAAGGGTGTCGACAACCCTTTCCTGTATGGGCTCCTAGAATTGCTCCAAGACTCCTGTTGTGGTAGTTTATTTCCTTCTTTTTTTGTTTACTCCTTGCAATCGAGGGTGCCAAGAGCAGCCCAGATCTTTCCTTCCCAGAAGCTTGCAGCGACTCCCCAGTTATTGTTGTTCAGCCCCGTCTGGATTGTTGGGCTGAACTCAGAGCAACGCAGAGGCCCATTTGCAAGCCACGTTGCCCGAATGACATGGCAAAACAGTCGGTGTCCCCTCCTAGCCCCTGTACAACAGGAACTTGAGCTTAGCAGGCGCAAGTTGTGACTGCTTGTTTCCTTACAATGACTAGACTAGAAGAGGATGTGAAACGATTCTGAGGATCCCCCACAGATCTGCTCCTTGGCAGCAATTGGAGCGAAGATAAAGGAGCAGTTTAGCGGTTAGGGCTTGGGGCTTGGGGTTTGGGGGTTTTGGCGGTATGAATGTGCTATTTGGGTTCTTGAGCCTGAAAGCAGAGTTTCGTAAAGGTTTCGTGCGAGATGAATGCAGAGGCTGCAGCCCACACCTTGCATGCGCAAGCATGCATCCGCAAACTCAACGCCCAAGCAGGCCAAACAAGCTTACACTAAATTCAAGAACCTAATACTAAATCATTACCCCTCGAACCCTACAAGACGCAAGCGCAAATCCGCAAGCCCTAGACACTATGTCCTCGAACTCTAATGCCCAGAACCGTGAACCGAAGCCCGCAAGGCCGCGATGCCATGAAGGGACCCTGCGACGGCCTCCAGGGAGATGCTCTTGGCCGGTGTCAGTGGGAACAGGCAAAGGGTTGTGTGCAGGGCTCTTTAAGGCCTTCATGTCATATTATACATTGTACATTATGTATTGCAAACTGTCTATTCTATATTGTAAACTATAAAGCACATCCAGAGTGTACTTGTCGTCGGAGGAAGTGACCGCCTGCCTCGACAACAAGTGCGCAGGCTGCTCTGGAGTGTCCTGGCCAAGTTTGGTGTCCCGTGTCGAAAGCCCGGGACCCTAAACTAAGCCCTAAACCTCCTAAACCCCTCAACCCCAAAATCCATGATGGGTGGCGGGTTCATGGAGTCTTCAGCGTTCGGGGCGCGCTGACTCTCGCTGCATGCGCCCAGAAAAGGGACCCTCAACCAACCTCAACCCTAAACCCGAAGCCCTACGTAAACCCTAAACTCTACACTCTACACCCAAAACATCTGAGGAGCAATGCCAACTTTGCCGTGAGTCTTCCGTGCTTTGGCTAAACTGGGGCTCGGAATATACATGAACAGAAAGATTCAGTAACCACAGTCATAAAATTCGATTTGCGCTTTACTCCCACACGTAACTCTCATAGACTATACCCCAACGCCCCCCACTTTTTATTGTTTCAGGCCAACCTACCAAGCAGCGGTCAGTTCTCGCACTCCCGGTGTTTGCGGTGGGGCGTGGTTTCCAAGTATAAGAGCCTTCTTGGTTTGGTGAATACCTCATGGGCACCATATGGGAGCTTCCGAAAACTAAGGGGTACCTTATTTTGGGGTCCCTATAATGAGGAGCCTAGCGTTGAGGGTGCTATATCAGGGTCCCCCCATTTTCGGAAACTCTCATATAGGTCTAGCAAAATGGACAGCGAAACCCGAACTCTGAAGGCCCGTATATAGCATTTGAGAGGCATCTCGGTATTTTGAAAGACTCAACTTTAGCAGGGCAAAGTGTTTCTACACCGGAGCGGATGTTGGATACATTGGTTTGACGTTTAAGGTTTAGGGTTATCTAGCCGCCAGCCCTCCATATACGTCACCCCACGGTCCAGGCAAGATTCACTTGCATTGTCGGGTTTAGGGGTTTAGGGTTCAGGGTTTAGGGTTTACCCTAAACCCTGAACCCCCCAAAATGCCCAGCAGCTTGTCCCCGGCAAGACTTGATGGTGGAGACAGCGACTGCCAAAGACCTTAGGATCCTGGACCTCCGCTTCCTCGAGTTTTGAAGGCCCTCCCCTGAATGGTAGGATCCTTATTATAAGGACCCCCAAACACGGCACCCCTAATTTTCGGAAAACCCTAAACCCTAAACCCTAGAAGCCCCAAACCGCGACAGAACGCTGGCAAGGACTAAACATATTGGGGAAAAATATTTTTTCCCCAATATGTTTAGTGACCCTTTTTTGGAAGCCTTCGAAGAAGAGCTTGATCAAGCCGTAACCCCGAACCCTAAACCCGTAAAGTAAAGCCAACGCCTCTGGCGTCCACGAGCTCAGGAGTCCATCCTTTCCTGCTGCAGCGACAACGAGCAAGAATCTTCTCAGCCGGAGATGTGCAAGACGCGCAGCTGCAGGGAAGTTTGGGGGAAGCTGTGGATTCTTCGGGTTTGGGACTTGCTCAACAACTGCTATGGTAATGACAGTCGTTACTGCTTTTTCAGGTTGGTTACTCACCTTCACTTCTGAGTCGGTGAAGCTACCAGCACGAAGAAGTGGCTCAAGAGCCAACCTGATGTCGACTAGCTTGTCGGCGACGCTTCGACAACCTGCCGGAAACCAGCGACATGTATCCGTGGGCCCGAAGAACCTCAACCTTCAAGCGAATGAGTGCAAGATGCAACAGCCAGGCCGATCTGATGCACTTGGATCACACAAACGCGTAAATAGAACTATACATCCTGTACAATCCTGAAAACCACAAAACCGGAAAATCTGTTGCAGCAAAGCCGTTTTGTGGCTACCACATAAGGCCTTGTGATAGGGTTCTTAAGCCTTAAACCCTAAGCCCCGGAACCTTAAATCCCCAGCCACTACAACCAAAATCCTTAAACCCTAAACCCCTAAACCCCTAAACCCCTAAACCCTAAACCCTTAAGGGGTTTCGGAGTCTCGCGGACTGGCCAGTTTCAGGACCGCCTTCGAGACGACCGTGACGTGCCTCGGCGAGTGTTGAAGGGCTGTAGATCAAAATCATAGGAGGCCAAAAGGGGTTTTAGCCTATGGGGGTTTAGTAGGGATTAGGGTTCCCATAACAGGGTTCATATTAAGGAATCCCTACCCCAAGAATCTTAAACCCCCCCGTTTGGCTTCCCATCACGAAAGGGCTTTGTCGAGTTGGATACGGGTTCAGGAGGAGTCAGCACTGTTTGTCCTTACGGGTTCCTATTATAATTACAGTACAATGTGCCTCAATACCCTGTCTTAAGGATCATGGCCCCTGGTACTTGAAGGAACAGGAGACTTACTGTAGTGAGACCGGTGCCGTGCAGGGGCTGGTCGGGTCTTATATAGATTCAAGTGGTCTTATATGGCGTCAGGGTTTCTGCATCAGAAGAAGAGGAAGCCTAGTAAGTAGGAAAGCGGCAGCTAACGTCAGAAGCCAAGTCTTATGTATGATCCTTCAATGCTCCCTCTGTTGCGGGTGTTGGAAGGGAACCAACTTACGCCTTGCGCCTTAGGCCCTTCGTTGTTCGAGCTACCTTCCATCCAAGGGTCATTGGGCTCTTCTTCTCATTTCTGTTTGTATTTTTTGGCGGTCTTTTCACGCCCTCCTCGTTGTACAGGTCCTATCACTTAGCCCTTTAGAAGCCCCCAAACGCGGTTCAAAGGGTTTTGGGCCCTTGTATTACATCCTTTCTGGTTTTGCAGTCGAGGTTTTCATCAAAGCATGTACTCTGTTGCATGTGAATTCTCGACAGGGTTTCAAGGGGCCATGTTTGGCCAGATCATCAGCCCGAATCCGAAACCCGAGCTGCAAAACAGCCAGGAGCCCAGGAAGTGTGCGTAGCCGCAGCCTCGAAACCCCCTTATTTTACACAGGAAGAGATAAGCTGCTAAGTCTCAAGTATCCACCACAAAAAGTTTGTCTATCCATCTATCGATCTATCTACCTATCTATCTATCTATCTATGTGTACATATCCAAATCTGAGGAAGTGCGTGGAGGACCAGTGCCGGAAGTGCTCCGGAGAGCAGTGCCAGCTCTGCCGTGAGGACCCTCCAACCGGAAGATTGTGGATGAAAGAGTCGGGCTGATGATCCTTAAAGGGATCTATAAGGGTTCCTTAAAGGGATCTATAGAATTTCCTTAAAGGGATCTATAAGGGTTCCTTTCAGGGCTCATCTTTGAGGTTTAGTCAGGGTGTATGGATATTGAAAGTCGTGTTTAGGACTTATGGCGTATGTTTAAAATAAAGAGTTGAAAGGCTAAAGGGTTCGATCAGGTGTAGGGCCCATGAAGCTTCACGTAGTGACCCCTTAACCCCAAACCTTGCCCCTGGACCATGCCGGTTGGCTCCCTCGGTCTAAACTGCTCGTCAGGGAAAAAGCGGCCCTTCATCCTTAATCCCTAAACCCTAAACACTGACCAAAAAACTGGATTGCTGGGTGAAAAAGGGGCTCAAAAAAACACACTCGACCAAACCCAACACGCTGTGGCTGCCGTATTGATCAGCAGTAGCATCAGCAGTAGCATTGCGAATAGCATTAGCAGTGGCACTACGTAGCAGCAGCTGCAGCCGAAACAGCAGGAAAAGCAAGAATAGTAATGATGATTTCAGCTTCCTGTCGCGGCAGTGACACATTGACGCCGTAGTCTTCATGCTCCGGTTCTGAGTTCTGAGGACGCAGAGAGGTACACCGCGTGCTGCAAGCAGCACGGTGCCGCTTGAACTCTGTTTGGAGGTTTTAAGGTTTCAAGCTTTAGGTTTTCGGGGTTGCAGACGTGGGGTTGTAGGGCTCAGGGCCGTGGGGCTTTGTTGTGTCGGATAAGCATGCTGTGCCATGATTCCATGATCACAAAATCAAAAAGCTCTCCAAGCTGAACGCTTCCCTTGCATATCCCGAGCGTCCATAGCAGTAAGAGAAGCGTCTTCGAAGCACCCTTTGTAATCCTTATAACCCTCAAACTAAACCCTGGGTAGAGTAAAGGAGCCGATCAATTATGAGACTAAATCCCCAGACCCTCAAACCCCAAGCCCAGACAGTACGCTGGAGCCCTTTGACCTCAAAATCTAAACCTTAGACCCTGAAGCCTGAAGACCGAAACCCCGTTGTCACCCTAAACCCTAAACCCTAAACCCTGAACCCTAAACCCTTAACCCGAGGTCAGCACAAAGGTCTGCGAAGCAGCCCAAACCCAGGGTCGTGAGCACCGCCGGGAGATCCTTCCTTGAGTCGAAGACCCAAAACTGGCGGTGCTTCTGTTGATGATATCAGTCCTGCATTACCTTAAGGGCCCTAAACTATGGTAATTATGGTATAGTCTTTATTATGGGCCATGCAGGATTTCTATCATCAACCGTTCCTCTATCTGGGCTCTGACGTGATTCTTGTCGGCTCCGAGGCAGGATTCATCGGTACTGGTGGTAGCTGCTTGCTTTTGATAGCTTTCCTGCTGCAACTCCCCGAGCTCTCTCTTTGGTGACCTTTAAGTAGCACCGGCGTGCCCCCTCTCTGCGGTGCGAAGTTTTCCTCCGATGGCTGGTGGGGACTCATGCCACAGTGGCGTCCCCCGACCGCATCGCAATTAACTGAAATTCGAATTTTGAGCAGTCCAGCAGCTTTAACAGCCCTGCCCCGTGTTGGACTTTGTAAAGCTGGCATATGCTGCAAATGCCTCTGCAGGGCTTTCAAGCAAGCCCCGATGTTCTGAGCAAACGATTCAGAACGGACGGCGGCCCGCGGCCGGCAGAATCTCCGCCATGAGAAGGGTGAAAAGTCCCTGAGCCCTCAACCCTAGCTAGGTAGGGCTTTGGGGAATCTTATATTTCCCTTATTTGGCTTAAGAGGATCTTATTTACTAATATTTTTCAAAGGCTTTAAAAGCCCCACCTAGCTAGGCCCTAAACCTTCCGATGGCATCCCGTGTTGTCGCCTTGGCTCAGCTACGTCTATAGAAGTGGCAAATGATTGGACGACTGAACAAAGAAGCATGCGAGCTAGCTTTGATAGCTAGCTAGCTGTTACGAACTAGCTACCTGACTGACTGACTGACTGACTGACTGCCTGCCTGCCTGGCTGGCTGGCTGGCTGACTGACTGACTGACTGACTGACTGACTGACTGACTGTCTGAGTGGAGTGGCCATCCGGCTACCTGACTAGCTAACGAACAACAAACCAACAAGCGAGCAAACGAGCGGACAAACTAAGTATCTAGCTAGTCAACTAGCGAAAGATTAGGCGATTAGATGGACAGGCATGCATAAATATATGATAGGTTTTGGCATATGATATCACGCTGTATGGCATGTGTGTGTGTGTGAGAGTGGATTTCGACAAGGCTCTTAACAGAGAAGAGCCCGTTTCGATACAAACCGTCGCATGCCTGAGGGTATGTGTTTATGGCTGCAGCTTTCCAGTAAAAAGCACTCCGCAGTACTTGTAACTGTAGTTGCTGGCAATATCTTGCAATCCTACTTCAGTGTACCCCCAGACCTTTTAATGAAGCCTCCAACGCGCAGTGATTCCCGTCCTGCCGCGTAGACTTTGTCGGCTCGGCAGATGACCACATGATGAACATGGAAGTCTTTAGTGTTTGGGGTGTAGGGTTTTGGGTTCTACGACTTTCGAGTACTGTCAAGCACAGCAGGAGAAGCATTCTCTATTCCAGGCTTTTTGGCGAAAAGGACTGTAGACAGGTCCGGGGAAAACGACGTGTAGTCAGAGCCTCTCAGACGTTGCATCAGCGCTTTGGCACGGGGACCGCGGTGCACCAGGCCCCCAACTGCATCTTTGGGGTACTTAGAAATACTTTCTAATCTTTGGTTATTATAATTCCTAAGAAGCAGCTAAAGTTACAAGTTTTGCTAGGGTTCTAAGTTCAGTATAGGCATGGGGAGGAGGCATATACCTCCGCGGTATACTGGCCCGGTATGGGTGTCGGAATGTTTAGTACTTCCCAGTTTAGCCACCGCCATAAATATAAATACGCATATATAAATGCAAGAATCATGTGTGCATATGTATATGCATATGCATCATATGCATACACACTATAAGATTCAGTCAGGCTTCTGTCTCTTCTAGGCTGAAGTCAGGCTCCGGAGCTTCTTGAGCCTTCCTTCCAGGTGTCACCCTGAAACCATCGTCCGTAGTTGGAATCGCATGTGAGGCCCTGTGATTCCTAGACCCGGAACATCCCGAAGCTCATGATCCCATGATGATGCAAAGGTTCGCCTGATTCCTTCCGCCCTCGACCCTATCAGCTAGGGTTGAGGCCATAAAAGTCTTGACCCTGACACAGTACCTACAGTCGTGAGAGCCGGCCCTGCATTTAGGCGGGTACTTGTTCCAGCCAAGGGTCTTGCGAGTCGACGAAGATAGCAAATCCAAACCTCAACTACGTGCAAACCCCAAATCTTAAAGCCCAACCAGGCCTGAACTTTCCAGTAACTCACCATCACCCTAAACCCAAACCCAAAACCGCAAACCTTGGATGCCAGGCGCCATGATCTTCGGAAAGTCGGACCTCTGCTGCAGCAGCAACGAGAATGATGACCGCTGCTGCTTGGGAGTTGAAGGGCTTTTGGTGTTTCCAGACACCCCTAAACCCCACCGTTTGGGTATGGGGTTAAGGGGCCTTGAGGCTAAGGCTTCAGTGCCCTTTTGGGGTGGGGGGGGGTGTTTGATTCTGCATTTCTCGGATGTCGGGTTACTGTGGGGGTCGGAGTTACAATATTCTTTGAGGCTCCGGATGTATGCATATACTACAATATACCGTATACGCCCCAAACCCTCTCAACACTGTTGCGACCGTTGCGTTAAGTGGGTTCATATTGGCTGCCGGTTTCTGCGGCAGCAATCGGCGATCCGTGGAAGTGTTTGATTTGCAGCGAAAAGGAATACACCAAGGTGTACTATCATATACTGAAAATGCTGTAGTTTACTGCAGTGTGCCGGAATATCTCTAACATACTATAATGTACAACAACATGGTATTATATGGTGAGCACGTCGCGGCAGGACCTGCTGCGTTGCTAAACCCCAACCCTCAAACCCTGAACCCTAACCTGAAACCCCAAGCCTTAAACCTGAAACCCCAAACCTTAAACCTGAACCCCCTGCCCCAAACCCCTAAACCCTAACCCCAAACCCGAGACCCCAAACTCTTAGCTTTTTGGGAAGGACGAGAAGGCTCAGGAGACCGCCGCGCCGGAGCCAGCGAGCTACCGGAGCTACAAGGATGGGTCCCGTCCGCTCAGGTTTTTTTTTCGAGGATTCTTTGAGGGCTCGGGTCTGCTGAGGATTTTTAAGGGTTGTGCGGGGTTTTATTGGGTTCTGCATATTTTTACATGGCTTTTTTACATAGAGGTTCTTCAGTGAGGGATGGGTTGAAAGGACGCTTTGGGTGTAGGGAATTACTCTAAAGGCCTCTGTAGGGTTTGGATGTGTTCTCGTTCTGGTTCACAGGCTAGTCCCCAAACCCGCTTAATGAGCTCAACCAAACATGTAGAAAACAAGTTTAGAACCCATATATTAATCGCTGCGATACCCAGATAAGGCCCTGTAAAACCCAATAAGCACCCTATAAGAACCCTGTAAGAACCCTCAAAGAACCCTTTGAGAACCCTCAAAAAACTCAGCCAAACATCCTTTGGTGATTGCGCCTACCGAGGAGCAAGTCCTTGCAGTGTCGCGGCCGCGGCTGCAGGAGCCGAACGTAGTTCTATAGTGTTCGTTATACGGCTTAGATTTAGGGTTCTTCTAGGATTGCTAGGTCCAAGACGAAGATTCTTGTAGAGTGCACCGTTGGGGGTTGCTATATCGGAAGCACTAAAGCCTACAGCCTAAACGTATGCCGCCTTACAGGAGAGTGTTACCGAGTCGAAAGAGTCATCGTCAACTTTTTGTGGAAGGGGTTGCATTCTGCTAAACCTGAAACCTGTAGCCCAAACACCGGAACCCGCAACCATATTCCCTGAATTTCCCAAACTGCATACAAAAGCCTACTTTGGATGCTTAAAAGAACCCATGCGCCAAGCCTATAGAATCGTTATAGAACCACCCACCCGAAACTTTAAACCACAGTAACCGCTAAACCCCAACACCTGAACCCTTAATCCCTAAACCCTAAACCCTTAAACCCCTGCGTAAACCCTAACACTTAAGCTTTAGCAGGACGCTGCAATGCACGCAGCTCGCCAAAGCGACGAGGCTCAGACGGATTCTTTGCCTCAAAAACCCCCTTGCAGGAACCCTTCAAGGAACCCCTCTTTAGAGCAAATAACCCTTACAGGAACCCAAAAAGGAAAGATTAAAGGAACCCCCCTTAGAGGAACTCGAGTTCGAAGGCCATTTTCGAGGTCGTCGAGGCCGCCGATGTGGAGGAGCCCGGGTCCGGGTCTATTTGCCGGAGCCTCGAAACAGAGACTTTCGGGAATTGTTTGGTTTAGAGTTTACGGCTCAGGCTTCAGGGTTGGGAGTTTGGAGTTCTGGGTGTAGGATTCATAGGGTTTAGGGCAGCAGAGAAGGTTGTACCTTTGCTAGGTTTTGCAGCGCCCAAAACCCTAAAAGCGCCAAGCACAACACAATCGCAACCCCTAAACCTCTAAACTCAAAGCCGCCAGACGCAAAACCCCCAAGCCTTCTCAACACCCAATGAAACCCCGAAAGCCCCAAAGCCCCAGACAAGGCCATGTGAGCGTTCTCGTGAAGGACCTCCGTCTTGCTCAGTCGACTGGGTTGCGGTTTGGGGTTAAGAGCTTAGGGTGATGAGATCTAGCAGTCTAGCAAGTAGAGTGCCTTGCGAGAGGGGTTTGGAATCCGTTGCGTGGGAGCTTGTAGAATTATATGTACGGTGAAGGGTTTTTGGGTTTAGGTGCAGGCCTGGGGTAAGTAGAGTGACAAGTGAGGCTATGATGCGGGTAGCTATGTCCTGCTGATTTAAACCCTTCTTGCATTGACTCATATGTTCTGTCTATGGTAACTGAAACGAATTCTAGGGGCTGCGCCCACGGATGGTCATCGCAGGTAGGAGCCTGAAGCAAGACCACCCACCCGCCCTTGTGTTTGCCCCTTCCCTTGCCCTCTCAGCCGTTGTCGGCCCTCCATGTAGCACGCACCCCCCCCTCCGCCGAACCCCGCTGATGCTGATGATGCGGGCCCCTTGGGGGCTTCCGCAACACACTTCAAAACTGGTCGCCTGGTTGCGGGCGCTTGAGAGCTCATGATGCT